TTCAGAATAACCCTGTATGCTCTATGTAAGTCAATAGAATAAATGTTTATGTCATTGTAACTTATGCTTTATGGTTCACAAGAGACCTTAGAGGAGCACAAAAATAAGAGAAATTTTTATTTTAAGAAACATTAGGACTCATATTTTGTAAGAGCCAGAAAATTAAAGTATCTAAAATAAGACTCAAGGGTGATGATTGCAATGTACACTGAAATTATTATTTTTATTTTATTTATTTATTTATTTTGGTACCGGGGATTGAACTTGGGTCCTTCTACTTGCAAGGCAGGCCACCAAACTGCTGAGCTAAATCCCCAGCTCCTTTTGTTTTTTTTTTTGGTACTAGGGATCGAACTCGGGTCCTTGTGCTTGCAAGGCAGGCCACCAAACTGCTGAGCTAAATCCCAAGCCCAAATTATTATTTTTAAACCAGCGTGGTCTCATACATATTTTCTGTTAGTTTTTAAGCACACAAGGATTTTAAGAAAAATCAAATATGTATGTATATGTTATTCATCGTGTTTTTTTAAAAAATCACTGAATGTTCAAAAAATCTTTTTCCCTTTCGACAGGCACACCATGTAATAGCCCAAACCAACCTACCTAGACTTAAGTGTATCCAGATGTGCTTAATGTGAGGTGCACAGAAAACCCCAAAGTGTGGAGATGCTTGTGCATCCCCTAAACACGACTTGGTGATGTCCTGGAATATCACAAGCCTTTCAGCATCCATCCTGTCCCCACTCAGGCAAAAACCTGACAGGAGTCTGACACATCTATTAGAAAACTCCAGTGAAATGAAATTTCATCTCCACCCGTCTACTTTCCCCGCATCTAGTATTTTATTTTTGGCTCTCTGGCCTAAAGCAGATGGAATTTTGCAGTTATCAAATTTTCAGGAAAAAAAAAAAAGAGGGTAAAAAGGGTTCACTGAGAAGACATAGCTAAGAATCATAGTCATTCCCCAGAGGTCCAGCGGTTCTGTTTTTGACAGCAAGCTACCTCTGATCAGAGTGTGTGTGTGTGTGTGTGTGTGTGTGTGTGTGTAAGCGAACTACCTCTGAGCAGAGTGTGTGTGTGTGTGTGTGTGTGTGTGTGTGTGTATCACAAATAAATGAATGGGGAAATGGGAACCTAAGTTAAGGGCAAAGAAACCACAGACCAAGCAGGTGTTAGCTACAGGCCCTGTTTTTCAGAAGCAATTTGACCTGACATCACTATCTTATAAGCTGCAAAAACATTTTGAAAAACAACTAACCAAAACCAATAAACCAGTAAATAAAACTTTTAACTTCTCCAAAAAAGAATGCTGTAACACTATGAGATGATAAGGGAACAATTCTTCTCAAGGTCATCCAACTCCCAAGCACTTAATTTTCCAAGATGTTCAATGCAGACAGATTGTACAGCGGAGAGGAACAACATTGGTCATGGTCCATTTCAACCTTTACAACTGTGTGATAACTACCTAGGCCTCTTCCTAGGCTCCACCAGGGCATTCCTAGGCTCCAATTTAAGAACAGAGTTCAGTTTCTAAGAGAAAATGACATTTACATAGTCATCCTCAGAGGACTTCTTCCCTTCATTAACTTGGCTTTTGCTTGTATTGCAAGAGCTGCTTGAATGCTCTTGGAGCCTAGCATTAACATGAACACTACCAAAGAAGCTGAGCAAGCTACCCTCCACTTTCCCTTTCCTTCTTAACTTTCAAGGTGATTGTCAGAAGCTTCACACTAAGCCCTCCTATGTACTATACAGAGCTGTCACTACTATTGCTATGCTGTCCTGCTTTTCTCTGTACTAAGGGCTAGAATTGCAAAAGGCTCACTTGAAAAGGATGGCTCCCATGAGTGAGTAATATTTATAATTATGATTATGATTACGAGGAGCCTGACAAACTCTGTTCTAATAATAAGGGTTCTGAAAGAATACTCAGACAATGCAGTACATAAATAACTATGAAGAGAGGTAGTAATTCATGCCTGCCATTCTGTACGCACATGCTAAAATGAAACCTCCCATGTAGCCTCCTCGGTATCTCTACACTTGCCATACCCGCTCCCCTGGGCTGCAGGTGAAATGACTCAACAGCTTGAACCTATCATCTAATCCCAACCTGGTTCACCTGCTTTTCACTGGTAAAGGCTGATCATCCATCTAGTTGCTATAATCCCCACACCCATTATCAATTGGTCACCAAGTACTACTAATGTGTCACACCTTATCTGTCCCCACTTTCCATTGCTACTTCTACCGTTTTGGATCAGGACCTCTACAGATCTTGCCCAGATATTGTAAAGCCCTTTGGAATTCTAGCCCTTGGTACAGAGAAAAGCAGGACAGCATAACAATAGTAGTGACAGCTCTGTATAATACATATGAAGGAGCTAGGGCTTGGTGTGAAGCTTCTGAAACCACCTTAGAAGTGAAGTCTCCTTATTTCTAGGTTAATCATTCATGAACATGTGATCAACTCTGCCGATCAAGCTAGCCTCTAAAATATGAACTGTGTAAATAGTGATATCATACTCCTATTTGAAGACGCTGATGAATAGCATTCTAATTTTAGATTATAAAAAAAATTCCTGAACATGACATAAAACATAGAAGGCATAACTATGCTTACTTTAAAAATCTTCTATAAGATTAAAAACATCTGCAACATATATGGGGGGGCAACAAGCTAATTTCCTTAATATACAATGGGGTCTTAGAATTCACTAAGAAAAAAACCTATCTAAATTTGAAATAATATTTTGAGTCCATTCCTTGGGCAAGCCAGAAGAGCAAAGCCGAATGCAAATAATTATAGTATGATAAGGAAAGGACACCGTATCTTGTGAAGATGAAGTATGGGAAAATTGGTGGCTATCATTGCTACCAAATCTACTTCAAGGGCCCTGCCTCAATCCAGTTATGCCACCCATTAGCACTAAGATACAGCTAAGCATTTGACAAATGCCTCTGGTCATTGTTATTTATGCGTCTGAAACACAATGGAGCACAGAACAAATCATTCCCTACAAAGCTGGCTGATTATCAATGTTTCAGCTCTGAGCCAGAAGGTTAAAGTCTTTAGCAATGTGTCTGAGCTCACCTAACACCAAACCCTATTATTCTGTCAGCACCAGGGCCTGCCCAGGAGGCCAAAACAAATGCCAAAAATGGACTGGCTTTTCCACTTTGACTTGATTAACTTCTACCATAGCAAGAAGGCGAACAGTAACAGCAGAATGCACAAACCTAGCACTGCTGACACGCCTTACTCTGCCTAATTAGGATACACAATCATCCAAAGAGCACATATCAAAACCCCACTGTGGGCCAGGGATTTAGCTCAGTGGTTCTGCCACCTGCCTTGCAAGAGCAAGGTCCCAAGTTTGATCCCTGGTATCAACCCCCACCCCGAAAAAACCCACTTGCAATCCATTCATATGATTTGTCTTTCAAGTGAAAGCTCAGATGAGACGGCAAATCTCCCACATCCATAAGAATAATATATATTTTCTTAAAGAAGCAAACAATTCAAAGTTCTGATATAGCTCTTCATGTGAATTTAGAAAATGGTCCAGTCACTTACTACAAAACTACAAAAGAATATGCGGCAAAAGCCCTCAATAGTGCTCACTTGCCAAAAACAGAAATTTAAAAATGAACCAGGTAGATGATCAAAATATGTATAAAAATACCACAATGAAACCCAACATTTTGCAAAGTTAATTAACACAAATAAAAATATACAGTGGAAAAATAAAAATGATTTTTAAATGAAGAGGTAACAAAAAAGTGTAATGCAACCAGAAGCAAATTTGGGGAAAACAAAGAAAGTTAAGCCCAACAAAACAGTAGTAAAAATTTAAAAATTTAGCCATTTCCCAGCTATTATGTAGGGGTGCATTTGACAAGCCCACATTTCAGAATATCACTATTATAAAATGAATGGGCAATGCCTGAATATATTACTGTTTGTTCTTCAAATTGTCTATACTTCATGAGTACTTATATACACATAACGTTGTTGAAAACAGTGATACAGATGTGAATCCAATTTCCTAAACATCTTGAAAAAAGTAAGATTTTAGAATTTCTGGCTTGTGTAAAGAATTTTCAGAAATTCAAACCTTGAGCAATGGTTTATTAAAACCAATTTGATTTTATTATCTGCAAAACTAATAAAATATTTGCCTGATAAATTTGGTTTACAAGGAACTGTTTATTATTCCTGGCCAGATGGGTTTGGTTTAGCGGTTTCAGGAAAAGAGCATTATGTATGGAGCTGTATGGCATAAGCATTTAAATGGATCCCATGTTGGCAGGTGCAGCCAGTCTTGATCTCCATGGCCTAAAGGGGCACAAAACTGGCCAGAAAACCAAGACTACTTGGTTTCCCTCCTTTCCTAAGGAAAAAGGTTGTGTCTCATTTGAAGTGCCAGGTGCCAGGAAGTATTGTAATGTTGCTATTCCTTGTAGGAGATTTTAGATTAAGAGGAACTGCAGGTCAGAAGGATCGAATCAACATCACAGAAATAACACATACAGAAATAACGTCTTGGCTTTGTTTCTGAGATCCACTAGAGAGCCTCACCGAGACCAGGAAGCTGTATGCTAAATTAACACACAGAAAGTAAACAGCACAAAACCTATTTAAAATTATGAAAAATCAAGCTTTGGGGCAGGGATTTAGGTCAGTGGTTCTTCTGCCTACCTTGCACCTGCAGAGACCAGAGTTCAATCCCCGGTACCAAAAAAAAAAAAAAAAAAAAAA